AGAGCCGTACTTCAGGTGAGGGAGGGGTGGGGCCTGGACGCCTTACAGTCACCGAGTAATTATGTCAAAGCTTTTGTTTCATCACTTCCTCTGTCAGTCTGGCGACTCTGCTGACATTCACAGCAGACAGATGCTGGACTTCCTGTTTCCTCTCCAGAGATCCCAGCATGGACATGAATGGTTTCTAAGAATGTCAAACACCATAAAACCAGACGCAGTGAAAAACAAGCTCAAACACATTTTGCTGTTTGTGTTGCCATGTTTCACGTGTGTCACACAGCCTCAGCACATGCCATATTACGTGAATGCAAGCGACACACAGCGAGTGCGGTGTCTGCAGCTGACGTGCCGTTTCCTGCCTCGCCCCCTCTCGTCTGTCATATCGATTATTTATCCTTTTCTAGCCGTGATTGGTTGTCATGGTGCCCCTGGAGCTTAAGGTGTCTTTGTGTTTGTGATCCCAAAAGGTGCTCGTGCTTCTCTGATGCTTACGAAATATTTCAGTAAAATCATTTTCTTCCTCCCAGCTGCATTATGAGAACAGTCTAAATGTGTTTTTTCTTCGTTCATGCAGAATATGCAGTTATTGGTGAATCGTGCTCACCGGGCAGGACAACAGTCTGATTTTAGATCAACAACAAGCAGTGCCGATTTGTTTTTGGCGCCAGATTTGGTAAAATCACTGCTTAACGAGCACTGGGACCATCCTGCCTTTAACGGGGCTTTAAGTGTTCATCTGTTTATTTGCATTTCACCTAAGAGCAGAGACACAATTAGAAACGCTGCCCTAAAACCACACAACAAACCACCAACTTATCTTCAAAGATCTGGAGAATAATGACCACAGAGGTTTGCCCAAGCAGAAAATCAGCATGAATAATAGAAAGGCAGAGTTAAAAAGCACATTAACGGTGCAGGGAATAATAAAAAGACCAGCTTACTGTGGCCTGGCTGCAGAACAAAGCGCTGTAATGTAAGAAGGATGCTTTTAATTGTTAAAATCTCCATGAGCTGCTCGTGTGTCTGTTCAGATCAGATTGGGTTTAAGAGGAAGCTTTATGTGATTGTCTTTGATTGCTTTAATGGCAGCGCTGTTATTTCTTCATGAAATAAAAGGATCCTAACATCGTGCAGTCTCTGAGAGCAACAACTGCAAGATGACCTTCATGACCTGGATCAAAGAAACACGTCAAACATGAGCAGATCTTCTGTTTCTCTTAGAATATCAGACAGCGCGGTGGGATTCAAACATTCATTGATTAAATGATTTCATGAGCATTTGTGGACACGCTGGCTATAATTCCAGCTGTGAGCAGCCTGCAGAGACAAACGCTCGCTGATGCGTCAGCGTGAAGCGTCTTCTTGCTCGCTGCAGTTACTTTCCGTCTCTAACTTTGAGAAGTCGCACAGTTCAGCTGTTTGGCCTCACAGCTTATCAGAAAATATTCATCCCGAGCATCGGCAAACACAGATTCACTCGGGCTGCTTTTCAGAGTCTGGCCTTGACGGAGAAATGTTATCAGTCAGTAACTCGGCTCCGATTCACACGTGTCGCCACGGTGTGAAAGGCTTCCACAGGAAATGACCTTCCACGCACAATCACAAGCTTCCTGACTCATCTCTGCTTTATCAGAAATTCAATATCTGCTGTGAACTTTCTGTCGCCGACGTGTTTTATCGTTGATCGGTCCTGATTGGTTCTAAAAGCACAGGTTTGTTTCTCTGTGCAGAGGGTTCAGGGTCCCGCGTTAGCAGGCGGGTTACATCACCGGGTATATTCGATATATTCGAGCTCCTGGCTTTCACCCTGTGTGCTGCACTTACGTGTCCGGGCAGGTGTTGTGTGTCGCAGATGGTTGGTTGATATCCTGGTTTGTTAACGCAACAGCGAGTAGCACAGGCGTGTTCTGGTTTCATGTTTTTATCGCTCTCCAGCAGCAGGCATAACTAAACGGGCCCATCTGAACACGTCAGTCACACTTTGCCTCAGCTCGCCAGATTATAGGCACAATGCTACAGTGTCCTGACTGTGGCAGCTAAACTGAATCTGCCGGTGATCATGCAGCTCTTGTGGATTTCTTGGAAAATAGCGATGCATTTCATTTTAGTGCTGCAGGTTTGTGCTGCGAGGAATCACCAAGCACTGATCTGCTGTAGCTGCCTGCTCCAAGGGCACAAACAACTTACTTTAAATGAAAGGAGCTCTCATCAAACTCTCATCATGCAAGAATAAACCATTCAACAATAATATACTATATCACACCATCCTCTGGAAAACCCTCACGACTTCTCCTCTGATATTTTTTTTTTGTCCAAGGAGACAGACTTTCTTGTTAAGGTGCTGTTGAGCAGAAGTTCAGGTCTTTCTGTTTTCACTCATATTCAGTCCTCTCGTTCATGTAGCTAATGCTACAGCGTAAGGTATCTGAAAGTCATGTTAATAGGAAGCACAGGAGCTGACACGGGAGCTTCAGCTGATCACACTTCACTGAAGCCTCATCAGAGAAGATTCAGTGAAGGACGGCTGAAGGGAAACAGGAGGACAGGCTGAGGCTGAAAATGACACCAGAACTGGACTGAAGGTCAGAGGAACAGGTGTGATGGAGAGATGGATCCACATCATGGTCAGTGTGTACGAGGAGGTCAGGAGGAGGTCCAGCAGTGAGAGTCTGCAGCCATCTGTGAAGCACGATACGACTTTATTCATGGTTTCAGGTTCTTTGATAAACTGATGAATTACAGAGTCTGATCCACCACGCAGGAACATCTGGAAACATCTCTTTAGCATGACACTCGGACCTCAGCTCCACTGAAGCAGTGTGGGATCATCCTGACAGAGAACACAAGCAAAGGCAGAAACATCCGAGGAAGAGCTTTGACTGTCCTTCAGGAAGCCTGGAGAACAGTTCCTGAAGGTCCTCACAGAGCTGACGGAGAGCTCAGACTGTGCTTCCTCAGCACAGACTCTGTTTTTGCCGTACATGCTGTGTTTCCATGTATGTTTGCACGTTTCAGTCACATATCTCCCAAAATATAAAGGAGGGTGGCTCAAGACTTTTGCACAGGACTGTATACTTTATGTGCCTTACTTTATTTAAACACTGAAATGATGCATATTATTCATAAAAAGAGCCTAATGTGAGCGTTTAGCTTGACGCCTTTACGGCGTGTTTTATACTGCAGGCTGTAATTTTTGCATCGCCACAGAAACGATGTACCTGATATCTAAATGTCAGTGTTGTGTGCTATTATGGTGGCTGGCAGCAGGCAGCTTGTTTAGGGGCCAGAAAATTACAGCTATAACAGAAACACCTTAAAAATGTAATAAATACCACAAGTAAGGCTTTGTTGTTGTTGCGCCCTGCTGACTGCAGTTTGAATACATCAAGTGGGTTCTTTCTCTTCCACACAGTGCCGACGGATGTCACACAGCTAAGCGGCGTGTTAGCGTAAAGCATGGCTGTGATGCTGAGTACGTGTGCGTGGCTGCAGTAAAGCGTTTGTTGCAGTATTGTTTCAGAGCGTTACACTTTGTCTTCCTCACCTCTGTTATTTTTCCTTCTCATTACAGATCAACTAAAACTCACCCAGGACCAGTCGTTCATTTGAGTGACAGCCCAAAGGATGAAGGAAAGGTGTGTAGGCGCATCAAAGCATCACCTTCATGATTCTCCTCGAGCACCAGTGCTGAAGCAGTCTGCTGCACTGAAGCTGCCTCCCTTTTCACGCTTTGTGCCTCCAGTAAAATCTGAGCTTTTTCCTCTGCCGTGTTTCTGTCATCCCCGCCCCCTGCCCCCATCACTCCCCCCATCACTCCCCCCATCTTCATCCTCGATCCTGACCCTTTCTTCCTGTCGGCCATTATTTTGTTCTAATTGCTCACCTTTCACTCTCTCACCTTGGCTGTCTTTGTGTGCTCGCTGAAAAAGAGCCGTCCTGTGTGCAGCGTCGCTCCTCTTGGTGCCCTCGTCTTTGTTTTGCTTCTTTTTTTTACTCGCGAACAAAGAAGAAAGAAGCTGGGTGGAAAAGTTGCAGAAAGAGAAGGAGAGGTCATTGAGAGGCATATTGATTTTTGCCAGTGGAATTCTGTAGCCCTCGGATGAAACCAGACTTGAAAAGCTTTAAAGACAAAAGAATGAGACATGAATTTTCAGCTGCCGTCACCTACTGCAGTCGCTCACTGCAAGCAAGAACAAAGGCCGTGTGTTTAGAGACGTCTCCTCTCCTTGAACAGCACAAAGTTAACCCTTCGTAAGCAAAGGGGACAAGTTCTCTCAGCTCACGCTAATGCTGCTGTCCTGTAGCTGAGGTTAGTTAAGCTAGCCTCCGTGTGCTTGGTAATGGTGATTGTCACTGAAAGGTTAGTGTGAGTTTGCTAGTCGCCAACTGATGCACCAGCTTCTCTGCTGTCAGTGCTCATGCAGGCTCATCTACCATGAAGCCGGAGGACTCGCTTTCCTGTTCCGCTCAGTCAGTCTTTCAAACTGGATAAAAGCTTTGAGATGATAAATGTCATTCTGTAGAAAAATGATCGTGAAACGACCTCAGATGACATCAGTCTCAGCATCACTTTGCGCAACTGGAAGTCTTTAAAAATCCAGTTCAACAAGTTTAACATACAGCAGGAAATACAGAGCATTATTATTATATTACTGATCACTAACACAGGTTTGGAACAATGTTATTTATATAACACCAAATCACAGACATCTACATACAGACAAAACACAACAATCATATGACCCCCTATGAGCAGCACTTTGGCGACAGTGGGAAGGAAAAACTCCCTTTTAACAGGAAGAAACCTCC